CAGATTCAGATTTTGCTGGTTGTATGGATACACGAAAGTCTATATTTGGTTATGTGTATCTTTTAGCCGGAGGAGCGATTTCATGGAAAAGTGCGAAGCAATCTGTCATTGCTGCATCCACCATGGAAGCTGAATTTGTGGCATGCTTTGAGGCCACAGTTCAAGCTAATTGGTTGCGGAATTTTATTTCGGGACTTGGAGTAGTCGACGAGCATTGCCAAGCCGCTGAAAATTTATTGTGACAATTCGCAGCGAGTCTTCTTTTCTAAGAACGACAAGTATTCCAAAGGTGCTAAGCATATGGAATTGAAATACTTTGCCGTTAAAGAAGAAGTTCGAAACGAGAGTGTCAATAGAACATATTAGCACCGATCTTATGATTGCTGATCCTTTAACAAAGGGATTACCGCCCAAGTTGTTTGCTGGCCATATAGTAAATATGGGCATTATGTTTACTAGTAGTGAATGTTGAATGTTAATATTATTATTAATGTTTATGTGACACTCTGAGATCTTTAACGTATAAGTTTCTGAAATTTGTGTTTTCTTCTTTATTTATATGCATGCAAATTATGATGAAGAAAACAAATTATGTTATTATTTTTAAAATGATATTATGTTTGAACCCATTATGGACTTCTCATTATAAAGTCATATTAAGGAGAAAGAGATAATATAGTAGTACATGGAAGGGAGCCTGTCGATTGAATGACATGTAATCGCCATGACTCTTGTTATAGCTGTATCTTTAAATATGAATAATGATAAAACCAATTTATGTAAGGTCCTTTAATGCGCATTATGACTTAAGTATTAAATCACATAATCGTATGACATCACATGAGTCAAGTGGGAGAATGTTAAAATTAATTTAATTAATTCATTCCATTATGTGACTCATGTGAAATATAATAATGGGCCCAAATGTGATTTAATAAAATATGAGGACCTATTGGTTATTATGTGAAGTCAGAATAAAATAAAGATAAAATAAAATATTAACTTATGGTAACCAACTTGATGAACGTTGGTTAATAAAAGGGATTAGGGTTCTGTCTCTGGCCATAAGAAAGCGAAGCGTGAGAAGAGAAAGAAAGACAAAGAGATAGATTGGAAAAATGAGATAGGAGAACGAAAAGATCAAAGAAAAGATTCTCATGGATCAAGATTAGTCTTCTTACTATTATTCATGTATTGATGTATGTAAAATTGTGAAAATCAATAATCTAAAGATCCTGTAGAGTAGTTTTCTATAATGAATTAAGAACGTAGGAAAACTACATAATGTCTTACAGATTTGCCTTGCCCTTAATTGAGAGTGGGAATGAAAATTTGTACAATGAATTATAGTATTTGATTCCTTGTGTCCCAAACTCACAATATGCATTGAACTAATCTCAATAGAAGGAAGGCACCAAAGAGTAAAATGTATATAATCACCATATAATGATAGTGTTTCATACTACCGGCAGAACAAAACCAGATTGCCGGCATCTTGTTGCTGTACTGCATTGCTTAATGTATCTCCCTGACACCCTTCTTGTTTCCTAACCGATTTGGTTCAAGTAATTTCTTGTACTAATGAGTCAATGATAGCAACTACCAAAATGACAAGTAGTAGCACAAGTTGATATATTAATGAATGTTTAATCAATATATTGATATCAGAAAATAAAAATTATCTCTCTCTCTCTTTCCTGTCCTGTTCTAGGCAGACAAGTTAATAAACTCTTCTCCACATAATAGTTTCTATTATGATGCTTGCTCCAGAGCTTGATACTTTGATACTGCAAAGATGCCCTTTATTCAATAATATAATTGGGAAAATGAAAAAATCGGAGGGTTAGAAGTCTAGGTGCATGGGAAGAATTGCAGGCCTCTCAGACAACTAAGGTAAGATATTCCTCTTGTCTCCTCCCTTGTGATCAAATAGCAAGCTCACCAAGAAGAGGAAACTTCAAATAAATAACTATAATAGGATGCTCATTATGTGAAGCTTAAGGAGAAAGAATAAAAAAAACAAAAATCTTGTCCCCCATAATTTGTTTGCTATATATATATATATAGTAAATGCCAACATTTAAAACTCAAGACTCAGTTCAGAATACACAAAACTATATCCTATTCCCTCCTAGCCTTCTGTTTTCTGTAAAGAGAAAATGGTAATCACTGAAACATATGCAAAGAGCTCTTTGCACACCCGATGCAACAGCTTGCCCTCTGCACCTCACCCACTCATGTCACAATGTGAGGAACATCTGCAAAGGTAGAGGGACTCTGAAGCCACTTCTTCAATATCATCTTCACTAAGCCACAAACTTGACGGTTTGCTGGATTTACACGACTGTTATGGTAAGTTGCTTCAGTTTCCAATCAAACAACAAGCCTTAGCACGAGAGTGCAGTGAAAAATGCGTTGATGACATTCTAGAAGAGTCTCTGAGGCTATTAGATATATGTAGTACAACTAAAGAATGTCTACTGATATCAAAGGAAATCATGCAAGAACTTCACTCAGTCGTGAGAAGAAGGAAAGGCGATGAAACTGTACTCACAATTGAAGGTGGAAAATACTTGGCTTCAAGAAACAAGTTGAAGAAGACAATCAAAATGACCTTGAGAAATTTGAAAGGGGTAAAAAGTGAGTCTGCAGTTTTCCCATCAAGAAAAGATGATGAAACCTTCTCCATGCTTAGTGTCTTAACAGAAGCCGAAGAAGCCACAATGAGGTCATTAGAATCTTTGTTGTTGTTTATCTATGACCCAAAGGGACAACAAAAGCAGAGCAGGTGGTCAGCAATCTCAAAACTGATGCAGCCTAGAAGAGTGGCTTGTGACTATAAAGAATCGCATACAAATGAATTTGAGAAAGTGGATGCAGCTGTGTTGTCCCTCCTCAGTCACAAGCCTTCTCCTATTGAATGTTTTGTAAGCCATATCGAAAATTTGGAGATGTGCATTCAGGATCTAGAAATAGGAGTTGAACACCTCTCAAGAAAACTAATTAGAAACAGAGTTTCCCTTCTCAATATCTTCAATCACTAATCATAGAACATTTCTATGATTTTTGTGAACTCAATTTTGACCCTACGAGTTCTGTGTCCCAGTTGTACATTAATGTCAATTAAATTTTGTTTTGTTCTGCAGAACATGTGTTAACTAAGGATCGAATTATAGTTATTTCACTTTCTCTCTTTTTCCCTATTAACAACCTCCCTTTAATCTTTCAAATGTTCACTTCCAAAGAAAAAGGTTAAACAAACATTTTTCATTTAAAAACTTAACAATTTGATCAGCCTTCTTCATCTATAAAGAAGGAAAATGAAATGAATGGTCAAAGAGGAGAGGAATAAAGCCTCAATATTAGAAAACTGAAAATTAGAACAAAAAAAGGAATATAAAAATCTGCAAATCAAGCTTTAAATCCAGACGTGATTCAAAGTCAATTTGAATAGGTGTCCTAGCCGTCAAGCTTAATAATGAAAATTTAAATGTATGCACTGCGAATGTTCACCGTTTTTAAAAACTAAGGACAATGAGAAAAAAAAATGATGATGATTGTGAAAGACAGCAGAGAAAAGCAAATAATAACACATTAGTATGACTCAATTACAGCTAATATAATTCAATTTCATTGCCACTAACCAAGATTATCAGTCCCATAAACTTCATTCCATTATGACCATCTTAAGTATGACTAAAATTATAAATCTCAAAGACTTCACTGTAAATTAGAAAAGATTAGAATTAAAAAAATTCTGAAGTTGGATTGTGCCGCAAGTTTGTCTGTTTCTTTTCAGTGGGGCAGTAGCGGTTTTTGCCATCTGAAACGATGAAAACATCTTTACAAGTAGCGTTGGTGTTTGATATTTTTTTTATATTTAGACAAATTTAGTCATGGATTTCTTTTACTTTGATCATTTATAAAATTGGTTGTTACATCTTGCAAAGACTTAAAAGAAAATTTATTTTTTCTTAACAGGAACCAATGCTGAAACTTCGTGCAATAGGAAGTAAAATGATGTATGCAAGGGAAGGAATATATACAAATATATATATATAAATAAGCTGAAGGGACCACAATATATTTTTATATAGAAATATTAAAGAAACATAGGGTGACCACAGAATCACCTCACTGGTTCCACCCACAACTTTCATGGTAAGTTTGAAACGGGAAAACAGATGGAAAACAATGTAGATGAACAAACTTAGGTTTGATTTTCACTTACGCGTGTATTGAATTTTAATAATGTTGCAAGTTGCCATGAATGATATACCATTTACAGAAAACAGCCCAGGTTTATGGGCAGACCAAGGATTCGCTATATATTAATAATAATTAATAATATATACATAGCCTATCAAAAAATGTCTCATGAGAATTGAACAGGTGGTGTGATTCTTGTTTCTCGAGGAGAGGCACTGCAATCGTTGATTTAATTTTAACATAGCAGTTCACTCGTGCAGTTGCATTGCATTTTAGGTTAAACACGTTTTAGGTATTAAAAATGCCATAATCATCCAAGTGAGAGAGCAAGTAGAGACAAAATATGAGTTGGATAGTTTCCATGTGGGAGACATTGTAATAAAATTTCCTTAATTTATAGATCCAAATCTGGATTAGTTAGCCTCATTGATATTCGTTTGGGAATAGAGTCCTTATCTCTCCAACAAACTATAATATATATAGACAAGATGCCATTGGAAGGAAGGCAGATCTATAGACTCATCAATTCTACATTCAAAATCAAGTCTTCTCTTCTCTTCTCTTCTCTGGAGCAAAAATGGCATCCTCTCCTTTGAACCCAAAATCCCATTCCCATGGTCGCTCTAATAGCTTGCCCTCTAGACTACACCCTCTCATTCTAAAATGCAATGAACACTTGGACAGCTTAAGGGCTTCCAAAGCAACCACCTTTTCCTCATTGCTTCTTAGCCATAAGATAGGAGGCTTGCAAGATCTGATTGAGTGTGTTGAAAAATTGACTCATCTTCCTCTCACTCAAGATGTACTTCTCCATGAGCGTCAAGAGAATTGGGTGGATGAGGTTTTGGATGGATCCCTAAGGCTCTTAGATGTGTGTACTTCTGCCAAAGATGCTTTACTGCACACAAAAGAATGCGCACGTGAACTTCATTCCATCATAAGAAGGAAGAGGGGTGGTGAGGTGGAGTTGACAGCAGAGGTGAAGAAATTTTTGACATCTAGAAAGGTGGTGAAAAAGGCCATCTCCAAAGCCTTGGCAAACTTGAACGCCACTTCAAAGAGTTGCAACATCTCATCAACCACAAACAAAGACCACCAAACAGTGGCTTTGATTACCTTATTACAAGACACGGAACTGGCAACACTATCAACATTTCAGACACTGCTGCAATTTATCTCAGGGTCAACACAAATGAAGTCAAACAGCTGGCTTTCAATTTCGAAGCTAATTCAGCCAAAAAGAGTGGGTTGCTCGCACGTGGCAGATGAAAGTGAATTTGCCCAAATGGATGCAGCATTGCAGTCCTTCATTTTTACCAAGACATGCAAATTCGAAGACACAAGCAATCTGCAAAGCCACTTGGAGAAAATGGAGTCGTGCATTCAGGACTTTGAAGAAGGACTCGAGTTTCTATTTAGACGATTAATCAAAATCAGAGTCTCCCTTCTTAATATCTTTAACCACTAGTCCAACACAGTTGGGACTGAATTTTTGTAGTGATCGATATAGATAAATTTGTACATGCAAATCATAAATGTAAATGTCTAGTCATAATGAACTCAAAATCATTTTCAAATTTCTTCTTCATATCCTCTTGAGCGGATTCATCATTTCCTGACTTGAAGATCAATTCCATCATAACAGCATTTTTAATTAGCAGATGTCCACCATAAAATTGCTAAAATATTCTAAACACAGAAAGTATACGTGTTCTTCCATTTTATCGCCTCCTCTTGTCACATCATTCTCCTATATTCGTGTGCCTGTAAAGCATAAACTATCCTACATTTAAATTGCCTGCAAACAAAGTACATCTCCTTGGTATGGATTTCCCAGGTGAAGTCTAACTTTAGTCACCTTCAAGGAGACAATAAAGAGTAAAATTGGAATGAATGTGTGTACCTTACATCTCTCATGCTTTTCCTGTTGGTCCTTAGTTTTCGGGAGCACCTGGACAAGTACAAAGGTGATACTTCTCCACGGGCTCCCTATGATTCTCAGGCACTCATGCTACGCCTTAACAGTTGAAGTTTGTTATACCTTGTCAATTAAGAGCCAGGTACCAGGGGATCCACCAATAATTATGGAATTCACCAATTTAGACACATAAGGATTCCACCTTTATATGAAAAAGACTAATTGATAACTAAATAATGTTGAGAATTCAAGTTGAGTAACTTATAAGTGAGAAAGACTCATAATATAATGTCTGAAGTTTTTTGGGTTGAAGTTGGTGTCATATTCTCTCATGACCCATTTGTGAGAATCTCCTTGTTGTTAGCCCCCTTGAAAAGACCCAACAGTGGTATCAGAACTGATATCCAACAATAATTAAATGATCTTGATTAAGAAGCACAAAGATTTAGAGTTGACTCTCATCCTCCTCATGGATGGACATGGGTTCTACTCCCATGATGCCTCTAAATCTGGCTTGCTTGCGGTTTAGACCTATGCAGTAATCCTCTAGATGTGATCTATTGACAGCACCGAGCCCCCCACATGCCATTGGCGGCCTGTATCGCTGTTTATCATAACATGACAGACTACCTAACCCACGGTCTTTCAAAGATAACACATGAACTCAACCTATTTAAGGGATTGACACCATCTTCAACCCAAAACTTTAAGACATTGGATTATGGGTCTTTCCTCCTTATATGTTGCTTAACTTCATCATTCTTACTTAATGTGGAACTTAGACTCAAACTTGGATTTCCCAACAACACTTTTCTTGTATCACATTCATGCACAGGTGTGAGAGTGACTTAAAATGTTGAGCAAAGTAACTTTGTTTTTAACTACTTATCTTGAGAGGCGTTCAACTCCAACTTCAATATCTTCGATGCCCCACTCTAAATTTTGCACATGACTATGAAAATTGTTAGCTTGAACTGATGAGAAGCTTCAACACAGAGTTAAACATTTCCAATTCATTACTATTTGACACTTCAGAATCACAAAACATTCTCTTAGGTTGCACAGGCTTGGAGATTACCAACCACCTGTTCTTGTTTAACTAATTTTTGGGGCCAGCAATGAAACACCATGTTAAGAATTTTTCTTTTACCAGCAAGCGTATTGGATGGTTGTAGTATAAACAAGTGTCGTATTCTCAGGGACTTGTGAAATATTCAATAATATTTATAGATTCAAGTTTAACTCGCAATTAAATAAGAAATTTGGACATATTTGATAAATTAATTATGAAAGTTTTAGTCAAAGCAGAAAACTACTTGGTGAAACTACAATATCAAATAAATAAATTGAGAAAGAATTTCGCTTATCTCCTTCTTATGCCTTCTTCTTACTCACATATTTAATTTTCCAGTCCAGTGTTATTAAGTCCTAAAACTCCCTCTAAGCAATCCCTTGCTTTAGAGTTTCTAAAAATCCTATTGTAACAATCAATCCCTTGAATCATTAAAATAAGCTTTTTGCATTAAGTCTAGGATTATATTTGTTAACAAACAAGTATCTAAATAAAACACTATATATGTTATCATTTGATGTTTTTTGTAATGAGTGGTACATGGTCATTTTATAGACCTTTGGACATGGCCTCTCAACTACATGTATTTAATACAACCACTACCTCTCAACTACATACATTCAATACAACCACTACCTCTCAACCATTATCTCTATAAGCACTACCTCTCAACTGCATGCATTTAATGTTTACCTAACAAAATCCTCCCATAAACATAAATACTTTTATTGTCCTTCATTCCAAGCATCTTCTTGATGTTCTCGAATAGAGTGATTAGCAATGGCTTCGTGAATATATCTTCAGCTTGTACTTGGGTTCCGACGTGCTCTAACTCCACATTTCCTTCTTTCACTTGTTCTCGGATGAAGTGAAACTGAACATCTCCACACCAGTCACTATCCGAGTATCCTACTAGTCGGTAATCATCCGTTCTAGTATACATTAAGCCAAGTGACACTGTTCCTCTCACATACCTTAGAATTTTCTTTAGTGTCTTCCAATGAGTATACCTTGGCTCCTCCATATACCGACTTGTTATTCCAACACTTAGCATTAAATCTGGTATGGTATTTGTAAGATATCTAAGACTTCCAATCAGACTTCAGTATTTGCTCGCATCAACTCGGTCTCCATCTGCATACTTAGAAAGTTTTGTATCAGGTTCCATAGGGGTGGAAACCGGGTTGCAACTTGTCACCTTAAACTTCTTCAAGACCTCCTCAACATACCTTTCTTGCGACACAAAAATGTCATCCTTTCCCTGAACAACTTCTAAGCCAAGAAAATACTTCATAAGACCCAAGTCAATCATCTCAAACTCCTTCTTCATCACTTCTTTAAACTCTTCAATCAGCTCGACATTATTCCCCATGAAGATAAGGTCATCAACATATAGGGCAACAAACATCACATCTTCTCCTTTCTTCTTTATGTATAAAGCATGTTCATAAGGACATTGCTCAGATCCATTCCTTTTGAAGTAAGTGTCAATTCTTTCATTCCATGCTCGTGGAGCTTGTTTCAAGCCATAAAGTGCATTCTTCAATCTCAGCACTTTCTTCTCTTCACCTCTTCACATGTATCTGAGTAGTTGTTCAACATATACTTCCTCCTCCAAGACTCCATTTAGAAATGCCGACTTCACGTCCATCTGCAAGATTGTCCATCTATGTTAAGCTGCTAAGGAAATCAACAATCTAATTGTTTCCCACTGGGGTGAATACTTCGTCATAGTCTATTCCTTCTTTCTGCTTGTACTCCTTCACTACGAGTCGAGTTTTATATCACTCAACTTCTTCTTCAGCATTTGTCTTCTTCTTGTATACCCACTTTACGCCGATAGGTCGTGCTCCTTTGGGCAAATCAGCCAGCTCCCACATGTTGTTGCGTTCTATTGCTCTGATCTCCTCATCCATTGCTTTTTGCCACCTTTTCTCCTGTGTCGCCGCCGTCAAAACGAGGTGGTCGGAGCGACACGATGGTTCCGACTTTCCAATTTTCGCGTTTTTATTGGTGTGGTTATAACGCCTTTAGGTTGTTCGATAACCGGGCTGAACCTAAGAGTGAGGTTTTCGAAAAGGCGCTCTTGGGTTGTCCGATAACCGGGCTAAACCAAGAACTAGTTTTGAAGGGTTCTTTTGGAGTCGTCACCGATGTTTTTACCGGAAACATCGGAAAATGAATAAAAAGGCGTTGGTTTTCGAAAAACCAACTTTGACCATTAGAACCAGAGTTGGGTAAGGGAGTTAGTTACGCGTAAGGGAAGTGTTAGTTCCCTTACGACGCCCCTTTCGGGTTCCCTATGACAGGCCAGCTACTTTGAATAAATAAACCGGAGAAAATGTGCTTTTACCCTTTATTTGCATAATTTAAAATTACGACTACAGACCCTAATATCTATTACATAATTAAAATTAAAGCGGTAAAGTAGAGAGAGAGTATAGAAACCTCCGAGGCAAGCTTTCTATTAATTCTTTGAAAAATAGGGTGCTTTTTGGCAACCCTTCACTCTTTACAACGTCGGAATCTCTCAAAAACGCTATAAAAAAACTCTAGAAAGCTCTCAGAAACTCCAGAAATGCTTCGGAGGGATTCTAGAAAGAGAATTTGAGGAATTGTCTAGAGAGAGAATGGAAGAACTGTGTGAAATAAGGGTGAAAACGCGGCTATTTATAAGGATTCGCGCCTGTCAAGTCGAGACGGCCGTCTCGCCTTGTAGGAATGGCTCGCCTTGCAAGAATGGCGAGACGGCCGTCTAGTCAAACGAGACGGCGGTCTCGCCAAATGCGCAAGGCGAGACGGCAGTCCCGAATCTGAGATGGCGGTCTCGACCTTAAAAGACGAAAATCCTTATTTTTATGCCAAAAATCCCTCTTATCCTAGTATGGGGCCTAATAGTCTCTCCTAGTGGCTTCTTAGGCTTCATCCATCTTCGAAAAGGAGGTCTTCTAGTCTTTATTATGAGGCCGGGCAAGATTAGGGGTCTACATCCTGCACGACCTCTTCAAAACTTAAGTCAGAGCATTCTATTGCTCTGATCTCCTCATCCATTGCCTTTTGCCACCTTTTCTCCTGCACGACCTCTTCAAAACTTAAGTCTTATGAATCTGCTAAGAAACATACAACATGAACTTCATCAGTGGAGTTGTATATATCTTGTAAACTTCGCGCTCTGGGTTGTAGAGGTTTATCTTCTTCATCAGAAGTCTCATGATCTCTCACAGTATGTGATGTATCAACTTCCGAGCTTCTTCTTCCTATGGACTCATTCTCCGGTTTGTTCCAACTTCACTCGCTCTCTTCATCAATTTGAACATCTTGGCTCATAATTACCTTCTTAGTTATTGGGTTAAACAACCTGTACGCCTTGGTTTTTTCATTATACCCAATAAACACGTACTTTTTGCTTCTATCTTCGAGCTTAGTCCTCTGTTGAGCTGGAACATGACCATAAGTTATGCTGCCGAATACTTTAAGGTGAGACACACTCGACTTTCTTCCACTCCAGACTTCTTGCGGTGTCTTCTCTTTTAGCTTAGCATGTGGACATCTATTTTGCACATAGATGGCACATTGCACTGCTTCTGCTCAGAATTCCTTTAGTACGTTCTTGCTTCTCAACATTATTCGAACCATGTCAAGAATGGTTCGATTCTTCCTCTCGGCAACTCCGTTTTGTTGGGGTGAGTATGGTGCTATCAGAAATTTCCTTATCCCTTGCTCCTCGCAATACTTCATGAGCTCGGATGAAATGAACTCGCCTCCTCGATCAGACCTGACAGATTTGATAGGCATGTCGGTCTCTTTCTCAACCATTACTTTAAATCTCTTGAACACCTCAAACATCTTGGATTTCTCCTTCAAAAAATATACCTAGGTTTTTCTTGAAAAATCATCTATAAAGGAAATGAAATACCTTTTTTCACTTAAAGACTCAGGGGTAATCGGTTCACAAAGATCTGTGTGAATCAATCCGAGTTGTTCCTTTGCACGGTACTCGGCAGTCCTCGAAAATAAGGTCCTCGGATGCTTCCCGAGCACACACTCTTCACAAAATTTCTTTTCAAATTCTATAGACAGGAGTCCTCGCACCATCTCTTTCTTTACCAATTCGGTCAGCCCACTAGAATGCAAGTGGCCAACCGAAAGTGCCACATCATTGCTTCATCCTTCATGTCAAGTTTCAAGCACCTCTCTTGGACTATCTTCAAGTCTAGCTTGTACATTCTGTTCTTCTTCATTTCTACTCGGGCAATCAAATGATCCGACTTGTCCTTCAAGTATAATACTCGGTCTTTCATCAGAACCGAGTAGCATTTCTCCATCAACTAGCTCATGCTTAATATGTTGCTTTTGTTAGAATCGCGCAGTGGAATGTTCGCGTGGTCGGACAAAAACCAAGAGGGGGGGGTGAATTGGATTTTTAATAAAAATTAGGTTTTCAAAATTTTCCCCAAATTTTACCGATTAAAAACTGCGTAAATGTAAATAGAGAAGAGTAGAGAAGATTACACAGT